AAAAAAAAAAAAAAAAAAAAAGAACCTGTGGAGAAAGAATAGAAAGGGTAGAAGCATGATGGTGGAGAGTGAGTAAGAGTATGCAACCATGACATACTTGTTGATCCCATTAGTGATGGCAACTTTTATCAGCAACATGCTTACACTGTGAGCCAGCATGGCCATAACCATCCCATCACATGGCAGTGAATAATTGTCTGTTCCATACATCCATCTCGCCATTTCTTCTTAACCCTCTCTCTTTCTCTCTCTCCTATGGCTCTCTCTATGTATACTTTACGCTTCTCTTTAGGTTTCGCTTATACAAACTAGCAGAAGAAAAAAAATACTCCCTGCTTCCCTGAGAAGGCTGAGAGAATATATTTAGTTTTTTTAACGGTTATTAAAGGTAATATAGATGTTAAGATTGTGTGCATGAAATATAGTAGTATCTTTTATTGTTAGTGTATTAGTATACAAGTATTAAATAGAGGAAAAAGTGGTGATTCTTATCTGTTAATATTTATTTAAAAAATAGAATAAAAAAATTCATCTTTTTAAGACTTTTGATTATACGTGAAAGAAGTTAAGAGTTATTGAAAAAAATTTAATTTTATAATTTATTTAAGAATTAAATGATATATTAGTTCATCAAATATGGAGATTAAAAAATTGATGGGGCAAATTTTCCAAAGTCAAAATAGGATATGAGCTGAAGTCTCAACCTCCAATGACATTCTTCTTCTTCGTTATTTATTTATTTATGAAAAACCTCCATTAACAATCTTAATCTTGAAGAAGGAGAATAAAAAAATGGTGGCACTACTCTTGACAAAATTGATTTTTGGCAACGTTTAGGATTGTTATTCTGCATGTTTTATTCACAAGGTGGATGTCTAATTCAATCTTGTTTATGAATTGAATTGGTTTGTTTTTTCTAATAAACTCTTTGGTTACGTTTTTTTTTTTCTTTTTTTAATTTTAGAGAAGCAACACAATGTTGTAAGTTCATAGATATAACTAACCATATTATAAATGACTGAAATCACGTTTTTGATTGATTATAATTCCAATGGTTGTTAAATATTATATTTATCGAAATTTACTTTGAAGGTATCATTATTATTTTTTTTATCAATGATGACGATTTTACGAGTTGAGATCATTATTAATTTGTTTTATTTTTATTTGAGGAATTTTCCTTGAATAAGTTAATAAAAGTTAAGATCAAGTGATAACGAAAAAAAAATGAATAAAAAATTCAGAGGTTTTAATTTATTGAAAATTTACTTATATGAATATGAATATTTTGTTTATTAAATGTTTGTTTTTTTTAACAATTATCTATGAAATTTGTTATTAACAAAGTTTTGAAGATCGTGATCCTTGATAAGGGGTGAACAAAAATAATCAAACTGAATGGAATTGGTGGTAAATTTAAATGAATTACATTATATAAAAAATGAATTGTTTGTAAAAAAAAACTATATACTGAACTGTTTAAAAAAAACTAAATTATAAAAAAAAATAAACTATTTTTATGAAAGTGTAAAAATTAAATGTGTCTAACATGTTTTGTCTTAATAGGTTAGCTCGATAATCTAATGGTCTAGGCTTTTGAAAAAAGTGATCAAAAAAAATTATGTCAATTTTTTCAGATTCAACAAGCCAATGAGTTTGTTTGACTCATTGTTTTAATATATTTTTTCTATGAAAAATTTAAATGAAATAGAAAATAAAATAAAGTTTGCGAATGTGTCTCGTCTTGATGGATCAATGATTCAAAATTGTTCAATTCAAAATATCATAATAGTACACTACAGCCTGAATTGTAATTCATTTCAGATTTTTATAATGTAATTCAATTCGATTTAGTTCAATGAAACAAAAAAATAATTCAATTTGCCTAAATTAATATGCAGTTCAGTCTAATTCACATGAACTACTTTTAAGTTAATTATTATTTTTATAAGTTATGTTCATTTTATTTTTTTCCACTCATATCCTTGATTTTTGCATAAAATTACGATAATTGTGATGTTTGTATTTTATTATTGATAATAACTAGTGCGGTCGAGACATTTTATACCGCTATATTTTTATTTAAATAAAAGATAAATATATTATAATTAAAATAAAAGATAAACAATAAATAACGAACATAGAAGATAAACGATAAATGACTAAAAGTATAAAGATAAGATGTTATAAGATGAAAAGTAATAGCTTATTATTGTTAAAGAGGAAGAATCGTGGTGGTTTATGATGATAGGATACCAATGAGTGAAAACTAAAATTTAAATTAAGATTATTTTTAGAGTTAAATAGAGTGAAAGGAATAGATGACTATGATATTAAAACATAAAAATTGACTATTAAAAAGTGAAAATCAAAACTCTATCTCTTTTATATATTGTTATAAATAATTAAGAAGTTATAGTATTTATATTATTTTTTCATTTGATCCAACAAAATCTTCTTGAAAAGTTTGTTGTTGCATTTATTTATTTATTTATTTATGAAAAAACCAAAAATCATTTGAAATAAAAGATGAAGATGAGAGAATAATGTTAAGTCAAAAGATAATCTTAAATCCTTCAAGTTTTTAAATTTTAATGATAATAAACATATTATTTTTTTAAGAGAAAATATTTTTTTTTGTGAAATATTGATCAAAAGAAATATAAGACGCAATTTGTTAGAGAGACAATGTGTCATTAGACAAAACATACAATTTATCTTTATAAAATCTTATATGCTTATTATTTATAACGACTTATGACTACTTTTTGTGTGTCTAGATAATTCCTTAATAGATCAAATTAAGAAAGTTCTTAGAAACTTACAAATTTATTAAAGAGAATAAAGACATGTTTTGCGTTAGAATCAAGGACAAACAGATCCATGAAATCACGAAGAAAGTCAGTAAAAGTTGATGTAGAACCTGACAACTTGCTTCTCGCTAACACATGCTACAGATAGTTTGTCTCCTTGATCAAATGAGAAGTGACATATTGGTGAAACACAGTTAATGCATTAACAAACACTTATCACCTCAAGTAACCTATAACGAAGACAGATGAATCAAGCTTGTGAGAAATCCTCCTCCAGATCTTGCAACAATCATCTTCATCCGGACTACTATATAAGAAACTTAAAAAAAAAGACACTTTTTGCAAGCTTTTGTACTAAACATATTCAAATTATTTCTATAAAACTCCTTGTACTTAATTTGTTGTATCATATCTTGATAGAAAGATGAAACAATTTTGTAAACCTATAGGGTTTGAGCTTAAAGAGACTTGTCTATAAAAGGATACTTGTTGTTTTGAGCTTGGAGAGACTTGACTGTAAAAGAATACTCGATGTTGAAGATTGGAAAGACAAATCAAAAAATACGTAAGTTTGAGGCAGAAATGGCTTGTTGAAAAAAATATTTGTATCTTGTTTAAGATAATGAAACTCAATCTATTTAACTTGAAAACTAGACGTAGTCTTGGTGGTTGAGATAAAGCAATACAAAAATATCATATTTTTTTGTCTACTTTCTCTTCAACACTCTTTACTGTTAGCATTACTACTTCACTACTTAAAAAAGCATGAATTTTTTATTGACATTATTCAACTAGCTAACATCATCTCATTGGCACCCGACATCGTCTAGGTAAAGAGCGTCAACCTTTATCATGCTTGCCACCACCCAATTCGAGGGCTAGCCTAAACAATTCAGAGACTTTTCAAGACTTTTAAATCTAATGTCATTCAAACCATGTCTAATGCCATCTCAATCCGAGACGAATTTCCCTCCTCAAGTCTGATACCATCGATCCTATGCTAAACATACCAAGACAAAAACTTCTGGTCAAAACTACACTTGATGTTATAAAGGTGTGTATAACATGACAACAAAAATATGTGAATATAGATCATGCAAATTGTTCCAAGCACTTGAAACTCAAAAAACAAACCAAATCCTCAAAAACTCAGAAAACTCCATACTTGCAACAAATCCTTAACTCCAACAATTCTAGATCACCACTTTGAGGATCAACAAAAGCCTCTCACGCCTATGAGGAATATAGAAAGAAGAGAAGAAGTATTAGGGCTCCAAAGCTTATCACTTTACTCTCTCTCTCTCTAAGGTCTCTAAAAAGTTGAGTTTATGAAACTTAAATTTTAGAAGAAACCTTATATACCACCTCTTCTTAGAATTAATTGAACATGTGGTCATAGATCCTCGTAACGTACTTAACTCAACCTACTAGGTACAATATTACAAATTAATAATAATAAAATAATATTATCATAAATATTTAAAATATCATAAATATATTTAAAATATAACTAATAATATTGATTAATATTTATAATATACAAAATAAATTAAAATAAAATTATTAACAAATATATGTAATACTAATAAAATATATAAACATATTATTACTATACTAATAATGCAATAATAGTCTAAAATCTAAGCAATAGAAAAATAATATTAAAAAATAAAATAAAAAACTTTATAAAAATAATAAAATAATTTCATTAAAATTAAAAATATTACAAAATGAGAGATATTTATACCGTGCAATCACGGACAAAGTCTAGCTGATATTTTAAGTAAAAAAATTAAGCCTTAAGAGTTCAAATTTATTAATATCCTAAATTTATGGTTAATCCAAAATATATTTTTATCCATCAAATAAAATTAAAAGATATTTAAAAATATGATAAAATTTCCATTATTATCATTTATAAACTATTTAGCAGATAATTTTAACGAAGACCTGTAATTCAAGAACCTTTCAAGTTTCAACTACCAATTTCAAGTTTCATCTACCAACTATTTTTTCAAACTACCAAATATCTTTTGAACTAGTTTTGCCAGTGTTATCCACATACATGTCAAGTACTATTGAACCTCCCCGTTACGCCGTATTTTGTAATAAAGGAGCATTATGGCACGATGACTCCAAATTTTCATTGTTGTTCTCTCCTCTCGATTTTCCCCACAGAACAGTGTAAAATCCTGCCACGATTATAACCGCACCGATCAAACTGCAAACAAGTCATTTCAAACATTTATCACCAAATTCATTCATTATTTTGACAGAAACGAATTGAAGAGACTTGGTATAATTTTGACATCCGACACAAGTAATCGTGTCATTTCATGCAGAAGTGTCATGAATGAACTAGTTGTTAAGTGGTTTTCTAGTTTTAAAATTTTACCTTCCAAGGCCGAAATCATCCCCAAGAAAGATTACACCCATGAAAACGGTGAAGATGATTCCCACAGGCTTGAACATTGCACAAAACAAAGGTCCAGCTCTAAAGACGCACCACGTGCACAGCATGTAACGTATCAATGTTGCACCTATTGCCTATTCACAAATCACAAATCAACATCAAAACCTTTTAATATATGTTTTGTCTATAAATATAATCTACATATTATTTTAAAACTGATAACCAATAAATAAACTTGTAACTGTAATAAGTAGCACAAGTACTAAATTGGGGTGACAGCAAAAAAAAAAAAATCATGTCTAAGTTTGAACGCAAAAGCATCAAGTATATCAAGTAGATTTGGAAAGTGTAATATGGGAGGGAACGTATTTTTGGTTACCATTTAATTTTTTTGTAATTACATTATTGGTGCAAATGTTAATAATTAATATTTGTTAGAAAATTTACTAATTACATTTATTGTAATAAAATTTCTTAATTCAGTGATTGTAAGAGTTGTTCTAGGATATAAAGATCGATTTAATATTCTCAGATTCAATTTTATATGTTAAAATAATATCTGGTAAAAAAAATATTAACAACTTGTTAGTGTTATCCTAATACTTTGTAAACTTAACAGGTTTGATTATTGCACTTTCAAGCTTTTCTTTGTTAAATATTTGTCAACCGGTTCCTTTTCATCACTTTTCAACCCTGCAATTTTCAAATTGACAGATGAGACAAATAAGTATTACCTGATATACGATACCAATCAACTCCATATCCAACTTCACCCGCCATTCTCTTGGATCTCTGACTGCAATTAAGGCAAATACTGTGCACTGAACGGTTGAAAATAAGATTTGGAAGAAGACTATGACTGTTACAGCAGGGTATTTCTTTACAACCGAAGCCTGAAGGTTTGGATTAATTACACTTTTAGTCCTTGAATATCTTAGCCTTTACATGATTATTCCTTGAATATCTTAGCAAGTAATTAACCCAACCTGATATATGTACCACATGGAAGACGCTAAAGAATCGCCAACACAGAAGATCCCTCCCATGATCCAGTTTAATTGTGGTGAAAATTGAAGTTTGTTAGAAGAGTCTGACAAATGTGTCTTCAAGATGGTTGGGCCCTTGTAAAGTATCATAATAAATGCTCCAGCAATTGATACTATTGTTCCCAACACTTTAGCTTGACTGCTATAATGTGTCCAATGTACTACTTCCATCCTAAATATATCATTAAATTGAGAGAATACTAGTTTACAATACTGTAATTAAAGGTTCAACAGTGCTATGTAGTACCAACTGGATGAATTCAAAATATGTGTCTAAATGTTATTGGCTGAATGTTGAATTCCAAAAAATAAAAATATCTTTAACAGAAAACAAACGGGGTTGCAGTGATAAGAGTTTTGTATATGTACGAATACATAAAGAATAGTATTTTCCTTAGAAGGTTGCAATAAATTAAGTGCAATTAAAAGTTTGGTATAAATTAAGTGTATTAAAAGTTTGGCATACATCAAGGGTTGTTCATATTATTTAACTGAGATTCAATTTCTTTTGAATTGCAATTACAACTGTAATATTGTTGCTTTGGAGATCTCTTCAATCATATTTACAACCACAATAGTTCAACAATTGTCCACAATTTCTCTAATTGCAATGCAATCTAAAAGAAACATAAGCAAAGTATAGAAATTGAAATACCCTTTGTGTTTTAGGCAAAATCTGACAATTCTTCAAAATAAAAGGAATTTAATAAAGACATCAACTGTTGGTTTTATGAAGAAAAATATTTCCTTCTGGTTTGCTAAAAGATTAAGCACCAAACTCCCAAATTGCAAAGAAAAAAGCATCCTCGAGGTCCTATAATAAAAAAAAATGACCTGAAAATGACAGCAAGTACGAAAGTGAAAGCTGGAATGAGATTAAGCGTGGCTGAGGCAAGAGTAGCCGAGCTGAGATCTATGCCAATATATGCCATTATCTGTCCTAAACTCCTGCACAGTAAAATAATTAACTAAATATATATAACAAATTCCATACTTCTCAGATCAACGACCACATGAAGGTTTAATTATTATTATAATTGACAAGCAATGCATACTAATTTATTAAAATAATTGAGGGAAAAAACAAAATATTATAATTAACTAGCAAGTGCATATGGAAGCATAATAATAGTGAGAAAAGTAGTACTAACCCAAAGAGTGCAAGCAAAAAGAAGGAGCAAAGTACAGAGAATGTGAGAGGAGGACGCTCTGAGCTGCTAATAAAAAGGGATATTATACAAATATGTTTGTTCTTTGAAACAAGGTATATATATATATTTCCTTCAAAAGGAAGAAAGAAAGAGAACCTGTGGAGAAAGAATAGAAAGGGAAGAAGCAAGATGGTGGATAGTGCCATAGAGTAAACAACCATGACATATTTGTTGATCCCATCAGCCATGGCAACTTGGATTACCACATTGCTTCCACTTTGAGCCATCATAGCCACCACCATTCCCACAAATGGCAATAATTTGCTCCAACCATTCACCCATCCCACCATTTCTTTCTAACCTTTTCTCTGCCTTTTATTTCTGTGTTTTATTTTTTCTCACCCTCACATGTCACATTTGAATAACACATGGTCTTATTTCATTTTGAAAAGGATAATACATATAGGGAAACACCCCAAAGAATGTCCTTTCTTTTTCAGCCTACCCCACTCTAATTTTGATGCCTCGCCAAACAAGGTGATGATGTGCATATACACTCCAAACCTTTAATTATGAACCAATAAGAAAAAGAAAAAGAATCCAACTCTTTTAAATAAAGAAAAAGGATAATATTATATATACACGAGTAATAAAACATAGACGTTGTAAAGTTTTTTTTTTTAATCAATTAAGTTACAAATTTCTTTACAAGTAAAAATAAAATTAATAATATAAATGTTTAAGTTGAGCAGAAGGTATGTTAAACTCAAGACAGTAATACAATTGTCATCATACCAGAAAAATATGAACCAGAAAAACTGCAATTTGATCATGAAATTGAACTAGGGTTTCACTTGCTCACATTTACCAAAAGTTATACACAGCTAGAAAAGTGTCATTTTTTTGTAAATTTTTCTGCAAAAAAATATTTGCAGAAATTTTTCACAAATTTTCTTGCAATAATAATTTCACAATTTTTTTTTACAAATTTATTTACAAAAAGTAATTTACAGATACTTCTTATAAATTTTTTTATGAAAAATAATCTACAAGATTTTTTTGCAAATTTTGCCATAATTTTAATGATCATAGAAAAAAAAATTCATGGTAGAAATTTACAAAAAATATTGTAAGAATTTTATTTTATTTCTTGCAAATTTTTTTGCAAAAATAAATTCGCAAGTAATGTTTACTAAAAGGTAGAAAAACTTTGCAGGTAATTTTTCTTGTAGACTTTCCTGCCAATTTTAATTCATAGGAAAAATTAAAAAAAATATTTAAATTTATAAATTTAATATTTTAGAAAAACTTCAAGCCCCACATCAATTGAAAATAAAATAATTAAAAAGTATATAAGCTGGAGCAACACTTACCGTTAAATGTTAAGCTTATAATCTACGATCTTAGAATTTAAGAGATTATATATCATATGTTATAAGTGTGAAAATACTTCAGATAAATTTATTATGAATATTTAAAAATTAAAGAATTATTCATATAATTTATAGTAATTTCTTTATAAAAAAATATTCTCTCAAAATTTCACAAGAAACTTTTAGATAAAATTTGTAGAAAGGCTTGAACCTTCGACCTTGTGGTTAACAGCCACACGCTGTAACCAACTGAGCTACTCCAGCTTATACGTAATACTGTTTAATTTACGTAATTCAAATAAAAAAGGGTGTTAATTAATAAAATAATTTCTCACAGTTCAGCATAAATTTCTACCATATTATAACCCACCAACCAAACTGCAAACCAAATATTTATCATCGTTAATGTAATAATAAACACAAGTAATAGTTTATATTAATAATGATGGATGTAGCATACGATAGATATTTTTAGGAGTGTCAGACATGACAGTTGATTCACATCGATGAATAAGAAAAAGTTGATTTCCATCGACCAGTCAAAATCAAAAAGACTTTCTATCGGTTTTAGTTTGAAAAATTAGTCATCACATTAAACATGAGTTTATATTATTTTTTATATTGTTTTAATTTAATTTAATATTTTATATACATTTATATATTAAATACAAATTTTTATATCGGGTGTTAATATTTTTAAGAATTTTTTTAGCAAGAGATTTATAAGTTGTTTTTTTATATATAATTTAATTTTTATTTATCAAAATTATTTATGAATAAAATTTAATTAATATTTTAAAAAAATATTATATTATAAAATAAATTATTTATCATAAATTTAAAATATGATTTACATATTTAAAGATATCTTATTATACAAGTTTTAAATATGAT